TAAACTTAATGAAACATAAAAGACTTATTCGAAAGATAAATGACTTTGAATAAAAAAACGGGTGTTTCATATGTACATTCTCAGTAATTTTTTCTCTAACACTTGGTACTTCGAGTTTATTTGAGTTATTTATATAAAAGTGAACACACTAAATCCTAACACAACGATTATAATTTATACTAATTCGACCATAACAGTGTTTCTCTACAAGAGTGCCACGCTCGATGTTTGCATGCTCTTAGAATCTTTAGGCTTCCACGCGTTCTTTCGGATAAGATCAAACCATTTGAATTCAAATTATTCTTCAATCGAAGCGCCAAACAAAACAACATGACTTGTCCAGACATTAAAATTCGAAACCTTGAAATTTCTTGAGTCCCACTTATTTCAAAATAAGACTTTGCTACCATTTAACAAGACGAACTACCCATAAGCTTGTCAATCGACAACCTTCATGGATTTTTCTCATATTCCTCTTAGAGCTTACTTTTCTTTGACATTCTTCATTTTTACTTCATATTTCAAGTCTTCGAAATTCCCAGCTAACACCTACACGCTTATAGCCCATCGCATTAGCTTCCTAACACTTTGAACGACGTGTCAAATAGAGTCCTGAAACTCAAGTTACGACACTTTAAATATCTTATTTGCGGCCCCTCGCCTGAGGCTCGCCCGACGAAGTAGTTCGCTCGCCTGAGGATTTCCCGGGGAGGATGGGGAGACAACCCTTCCCTCATATAATTTCCAGAAGCTTTGTTTTTCTCCCATTTCCTTCGCCTCTCATTCGCCCCGCGAAGCTCGCCTTCGCCATCTCGCTCACCTGAAGAAGCACGAGCAAGTGTCACCCTCTATACATTTTCCAGGAGCACCCAAAATCACAAGTCTCCTTGCCTCACACTCTCCCGACGCATCAAGGGCTAGGTCACTTTGCCCGGCGATGTTGAAGACTCTCCCGACAATGCAGCGAAACCAAGAACTTCCTGGTGTGATTTATGCAATGCACCAGTCCCAAAATCGTTACGATTTCGCCATATAACATACCCAAAATTCATATAATTCATCATGGTTTCACAATATCACAGTCACACACCATAGTAGGCATCATATACATCATTTCATAGCATTATAACATCAATCTATCACCAATTTCATCACAATCATCATGTTATCAAATTCATCATAAAACCTCAACAACCTACAAATATCTAAATCCTATATCAATCATAATAATAAGGATAACTCTCTTTACCTTATATTATAGCTAGCAATCGATTCTCCTTTGCGTTCTACAGAATCCCTCTGAGCTCCTGTGCCCTAGCTCTCATTTATCGCTTCTTCCCAACGTTCACGATTACACAAAATGAAACACTGACACTCTTTTTTCCTATTTTAACCTTTGGACCCTTTCTATGGTTTTTCTATATTGCCCTCACTTATCACTTCACCAATGACCTCCTTGCCCTTATTATTTATACACAATATATTCTATTTATTTTATTAATAAAAATAATTCTAAATAATTAAACTAATAATCTAAAATATTAAAACACTCAATATCACTTAATTTCCACTATATCACACATAACATCACATCACACATCATATTCATCATAACATCACATCACACATCATATTCATCATAACATCACATATGCTCGCAAATATATCACAAATACACATCATAATTCAATTAAATAACTAAATAAATGATCTATATATTTTTTGGGGTGTTTACAACACTCATCAGATTGCTCTTAATGTCAAGAACATACCAAACATTTTTTATCAGAACGTCTTCCCATTCTTCACTTTGACTTTGACATTTCCTATACCTTATGCATTAAGGTGCTTATCATCAGAACATCTGATCTTTGTCCTCCTTCTGGAGTCAAAATCTATCATCCATTGTTTGTTCCTAATTAAGTGATTTGAGCAGCCAATTTCCATATACCACCAGTCTACTAGGTACCTTCATCAGACTTATAAGCCTTCAATAACACAGGTTCATCATCTGAATCTTCTCTGGCTATATTTTCTTCTTCAGACTTCCTTTCCTTGTTTGACCAACAATCCTTAGTAAAGTGGCAAATTTCTTGCAACAATAACATTGAGTCTTCTTCTTGTCAAACTTTTCCCTTCCCTTCTGATATTTCTTCTCATCATAAGTGGAGGTTTCTGACTTCTAGGATCTACCATGTCTTTTCTTGGCCTCTGACCAAGACTGCTTCTGGTCCTTCTTGACAAAAGAAGCTTTTAGAGTCTGCTCTACCCCTCTCTCTCAGAGGTTCTCTTAGTCAGACGCAACTCTTACGCCTCTAGAATTCTTTGCAACTCTTCTATTCTCACGATCTTAAGAATGTTCAATAACTACAAAAATGTAATCAAATTGAGGAGTAATACACCTAGATATCTTCTCTATGATTACTTGTTCAGAAAAGCGTTTCTCCATATGATTTCTTCTCATTTGTGATCAAAATCACTCTAGAGATGTAATCAGGTACCTTTTCATCATTCTTCATGTTGAGATTCTCATACTGCTTACATAGAGATTGAAGTTTCACCTTCTTCATTGACGCATCAACTCCATAGCACCTTCGTCATCGCTGAATCATGGATTTTCTCAAACACATTCACAACTACACACTGGTGGATGTATAACAATGCCTTTTGATTTTTCTTCGTTGTATCTCTCTGTGTGTTTCTCTGTTCCTCTGTCGCATCTGCTGTAACTGGAACATAACCTTCAGTGACAAGATCTAGAACATCTTAAGCACCGAATAACACACGCATTTGAATCATCCACAAATTCAAATTCTTTCTAGCAAACACTGAAAGTTTAGTATTCAAACTGCTTCTGCTCATCTTCGTTTATATCCCACGCAACCTTCGTCATCGCCGAATCAACAATTTTCTCAAACACATTAGCAACTACACACTGATGGATGTAGAACAATGTCTTTTGATCCTTCTTCCTTTTATCTCTCTGTGCATTTCTCTGTTCCTCTATCGCATCTGCTACAACCGGAACATAACCTTTAGTGACAAGATCTAGAACATCTTGAGCACTAAAGAACACACACATTTGAATCATCCACTGATTTAAATTCTTTCCATCAAACACCAAAACTTTAGTATTCAAACTACTTCTGCTCAACTTCGTTTATATGCACTAAAATCACACAGATCTCATAACTCACCAAACACTCGTGTTTGCCGACCTCGTAAAATCAAGAAATACAATCCTACTACGATTTCGCTCGTGAATTCAACGTAAATTCAAGATTCAACGAAATCAACTACACACGCCTCACGTACACTTGTGTTTTCTTGTGAATCTAACTAGAGCTCTAGACACTAATTATTGGTGCACAAAGATTGAAGATGAGGATAAAATGGAGAGAGAGAGAGAGAGAGAGAGAGAGAGAGAGAGAGAGAGAGAGAGAGAGAGAGAGAGAGAGAGAGAGAGAGAGAGAGAGAGAGAGAGAGAGAGAGAGAGAGAGAGAGAGAGAGAGAGAGAGAGAGAGAGAGAGAGAGAGAGAGAGAGAGAGAGAGAGAGAGAGAGAGAGAGAGAGAGAGAGAGAGAGAGAGAGAGAGAGAGAGACTATACTACAACAACTTGTTGAGGAAGAAATTCTATACTAAAATCTTACTTAAAACCTTGTTACAAAGTTGCTTATATACACAAGTAAACTGCTACATAAGCCCTAATAAATAGTAAACTTGATAGCTAAGTTTGCTTGATAACCAAACTAACAAAAATAACTAGAACTCCAAAAACTAAATATACTTATGAGACGTAACATCAGAGGCTTCTGCTTTTGACTAATACAAAAATACTTCTGAATATAAATTACTTCTAATACTTCATAGATTATAAATATTATTTTCATAAGGAGTTAGTTTAATTAGCTAGAAATGGTTAAATTTTTTAGAGTTTGTTAAAACTCAACCAACTTCAAACTATCTTTTATATATATATATATATATATATATATATATATATATATATATATATATATATATATATATATATATATATATATATATATATATATATATATATATATATATATATATATATATATATATATATATATATATATATATATATATATATATATATATATATATATTCTAATCTTAGCCCTTATAATCAGTTGGTTTTTGAATCAAATGAGTACGAGGATGAATCACAAATTCATCAAAGTATTTTCACCAAAGCTCTTTAGCACACACCAAACACATTGAATTTGCTTGTTATATGATTAGATACAAAGTGAAATAACCTACATTCGAGCTTAAAGGGGGGTTTAATTGACCTTCATATTTTAGTATTTTAGTTTTTATATAGTGTATCTTATTATGTTGCTTTTGCATCGGCGTAGATACTCTTTTCATTGGGTAAGAATTCTCTATCTTTTGAGAGGGAAAAATAGAGTGACTTCGAGTTAAAAATAAATAAGACAAAAGAGAGATGATGATTATTTTGGAGGAAAAAAAAAAGTGAGAGAAGGTAAATTATGAGAAAGATAGAGAGAAAGTTAGAGAAAAATATAGAATGAAAGTTACTGATCCAAATCCCTTTTCATCCTTACTTTTCCTTCTTTTCCAATTTAACCCTTATATGAAAGGCTATTTCTTTTGTTCATCTGGCAGAGTTGAATAAAAATTACTAAAGAAAATGTATATTTTACAGTTTAGAGTTCCTCCCCTTGCTTTGATTCTTTCTAACTGTTTCTGTGGATGAACTTCACTAAATTCTTTCCATTTTACAATTTATGTATTGATACGAAATTTGGTATAGTGTGTTTGTAACAAAACATAAATATTACAGTTAATGCATGGATAAAAGTTATACCATTCCTCTAGTTATATATTTTACATTGATGTTTTCCACTCTAGATTGACTAGAGAGACTCTGCTTACACTTAAACCATAGCACATAATGATCTTCAAAAATTGAAATTGAAGAGATAAAGCTTCCCACATTCCTTGATAAATCACTTTGCTTCACCATTTTGTAGTCCTTTAAGAAAAGATGCACTCTTACTAATTTCGCGCACCGGCTTGTTCGTGTACCGAATGAAAGTATACGCCCATGTACCGGCCACAGCACCAAGAGTCGTTGCGATTAAATATATCCATATTCCTCTGTACTCCTTATGAACAATAGCAGGCCCTAAGCTTCTTGCAGGGTTCATTGATGCTCCCGTAATTGGCCTGTTATTAACATATATATACGATTTCATGCACAAATAATTTCCTATAAAGTATCTCTTATACTCCCTTTAATAAAACGATGTTTTTTAATAAGAAAAACCCGTGATCGATTTTGAAAGATGTGACGACATAATTGTAATATATCTAGGTTTATACCCGGCAAACATGACATTTAGAAGTACGGTAGATCCAACTGCAAGTCCAGCCAATTCACCAATCTGTGATTTTTACAAGATAGAATTGTTAAACATATTAAAATTATAACATAAAGATAAAATAAATGAGATTACCGCTCTATTATCGGTAGCAACTCCAGAGATGATGAACATAAGATAAAAAGTAATTATGAATTCAATCACAAATGCTTGAAGATCAGAAGCAGCCGGAAGTGTTCCGGAGAAATGATTTTTATCGCCATTGAATATAAGTCTAAGTGTTCCACTTGCAAGTGTGGATCCAAGAACTTGTGCTATTAAATAAGCTGGTACCTATAATAAGATCATTAATTAAATTAACAAAAAGTCCTCAACAATTTTTATTAACACTAACCAGAACGTGAAGTAGAGGAATCACCTCTTTGAGTGGAAATCTTTTGGTTGATGCGTGAGCAATGGTGACGGCAGGATTGAAATGAGCACCAGAGATATGACCAAGAGAATAAACCAAGACCATAACGGTGAGACCCCAGACAATTGAAATTCCAGGATGTGTTATCACTTTGTCATTGTCAAGGTTACAACAACTGCAGCACTTCCAGCAAATATCAAGAAGTATGTTCCCACCACTTCTGCCACCAACTATATTCAACACAACATAAAAACTATTTAATTTTATCATTTTCAAAACAATTTATATACTTTAGAAAAAAGTTGAAGACAAAGATATATAGAGAATTTTAGAAGATAAACCTTTTGCAAAAGAGGAACATGGTCTTTAAATTCTGAGTTATCTTCACAATTTTTGGAGGAATCGCCATTTACATTCAAAGCTATTTCATGGTTTCCATTGCTTGATGAATGATCAGCCATAGCACCTGCACAAAATAAGGATAAAGAGAAGAAATGAAAAGAAAAGAATACTCTATTTTGTGCTTTGTCAAACAATTTAGGAAATGAAGCATGGAATTTAAGAATGGAACTAGCTACCCCAATTTATGGGCACCTAAAAGTCTTAAAAAAAGGAAGCATGGAAGAGATTCATAATTGACTTTCTCAAAATTTTCACACATGGAAAAGTAAATGATCACTTTCTTGTGTCTCAACATATGTATTTTGTGAACATATATCACTTTTAATCACATGATATGTTTGACAAATTAACTTTAAACCGTATTTAAAGTAAAATTTTCATGATAAAAAAACTAAATAAACATTAAATATGTTATCGTGATCTCTTCCGATTTGAAGATTTTAAGTTTGAACTAAACTTTAAATATGTAACAGTATTAAATTTTTTTGAGAAATTTTTTTGTCGTCTATTATTATAATCCTAAATAGATGAATTTCTTATCTTGTATAGGTTGAGGTGTGATCCTTGATGACATTGAAAGCTTTTGCAACTACCCACCGGAAATGCAGAAAGGGACATAAATTGCACTTAACTTTAAATTTTGGATGGGATATATAGACTTGTCTTTTTGTCTATTTGTCTCTCTTAGTCAAACGTTTGAAGTTTGATGATGTTTGGTTGACATAGTATTATGGTAACAGTTAAAAGTTTTAAATATTTAGACAAAAGATAAATAAAAAGATTAGGCTTTGAATAGTTATAAGTCCAAGGAAAAAATTGGATGAGAATGAAATGACGTAGATGAATGAGTAGATAAGAACTCAAATTTTAGTACATTGAATTGAATTGATGATGATAGATTTTAGGTTATTATTACTTATTAGAACTCTCATATGTTTTTATTATTCTCACATATTCTACACCATATACTTACATCATACATCAAACACTGATGAACACTTTTTTTAAAATGAAAAAAAAAATTTATGATTGAACAAAAATTATGAACAGTAATACACACGTGAACGATGTTAGTGAACATTGTCTTTAAATAGTGCATAAACAGTGTATTTTTAGTTGTAAAACAAATTTAATTAATAAAATATAAAAAATTAATTAAAGAAGTAACGAAGTTAATTAATAAATATTTAGATTTTAAAAATAATTTAGTAATAAAAAAAATTTAGTTAATACAAAGTAAAAAGTTAATTAATAAACGCTCAAATATTAAAAATAATTTTTAATAGTAAAACAAATTAATAAATAAAAAGTAAAATGTTTGATTAAGAAAGTTATAAAATTGGTTAATAAATAATAAGATATTAAAAATAATTTTTAGTATTAAAATAAAGTTGGTTAATGAAATATGAAATATTATTTAATAAAGTTATGAAATTAATTAATCATACAATTTTTTTTTGCATTATTAATCATATAATTTTATACCAATATTCTTTAATTAAAAAATATAAAATTAAAAAATTAAAAAAATTCATGTATTTTTTTTTATATTATTTATTATTTTTATAATATTTTATTATTCAACGTAGTAATGAACAATGAAATACATATAAGTGTATGATTTTGATGTAAAAATAACATTTTTCTTAGAATTTAATTCTACTTTAAGTAACATGAAAAAATTAAATATACTTATATGTTTTTTATATATTATTTCCCAATTTAAAGTGTATCAAATTAAATAATTTTTTTAATTGGAATTCAAATTTCAACTGACTATGTTGTATGAGTGTAGTAACTTTAACATTTCTTTCAATTGTTTACTTTATTTTATAACAATTTAATGATTATATTATTTATTTTCAATGATTCAACTTTGATGAAGGGGTAGCCTTGGTTCAACGACAAGATTGTTCAATTGTGACTCTGGGTAACCCTGCTTGAAACAGCTTCTCTGTTATAAAAACAAGGGTAAAATTGTGTACATCTAACCTTCTAAAGTCCATAAAATGAGAGCCTCGTGCACTGAGTAATGATCTGATTTTGACTCGTGTATTTTTTAGTATTGTAATTTTGATTCCCTTGTTGATTTTTTATTCAATGTTTGAAAAAAATTATTCTGATATGGAAAAGAAAATCGATAATATGTTGAGAAGTTTGTCCTAGAAATCTCCTAGGAGGAGATGAAGTGTATGTGTAAGGTTAGCACTCCAACACTCAAGTATTTTAGTTTGGAGAGGTGTAACTTGCAAGAATGAATAGATTGTACGTTGGTGTTAGACACAATCACACTTATATGTGGACTAGATTAAAATCGCTCTCGATGAGTGCAACATGGAATGCAGGAGACCGTTTGATTGAGTTTAATAGTTGAGATGAATGTGGTGCATTGCTCCGGTGTACGACCCAATATTGAGGATCAACTTGTTCATCATCAGAGAGCAGGCAAACCTCTAGGTTTGGCCTTCCAATTGGGCCGGCCTTACTGGATTGAGGTTGATCTTGGGTCATTAATTGTGCCTTGTGATGTCCTGTTAATTCCTGGTCATAGGTCCATACTCACCGGTGTCCTGTAAGTTTGCAGTCAATTATTCATTTCGCTTCTTTTGCACAAAAGATCCATATATATTCTTTTATGTGATTTTTACTTCGTCGGTGATCTTCCCACTACTTTCGATGTTCTTTTTTGCCCGCACAACATTTCTAGATCTTTGGTGGTCTTTATTTTTTATTTTTTCATATCGAACTCCACAAAAAATCGAGGTAACACTCTCTTTCTTTACTCATTAAATTGTTTTTGTTTATTTCTAGCCAGGGAAAAACTAGGAAACTCAGACATTTCCTTCATAGACTTGTCGATCGATGATGAGATAAATGACTCCTATTCACGAACCAAAATGATAAGCCCACAAATACTATATGTTTTTCCTCTAGATATGATATATCATTCTTTAGATTTTATAGAGATCAATAAGAATTTTGACACATCCAAGGGTCCAAGCAAAGACCTTAAAGAGTTGGAGGGTCACCAGGAAGCAAAAATCATTGCAATGTATGTGGATGGAGAAGAGAAATTCTCTCCATTTTGAAATGATATGACATAAAATTATCGTGGTTTTGCATTCTCCAAACTCCTTGCGCCAAACGCGAAGATCATAGATGTTTAAATGAATTATTTGAAGGGACCTATTTATATTAAAGAATTTGTATGTTAATACAACTATCAACCAAGTTATATTGAGGTTAGATGGTGGGTGCAGTCTAAATCGCATTCTAGAATTTATAGTCATAACTTTATACTTGTTGATAGTGAGGAGGAAAGGGCATGAATTGGATAACAATCTCTTGAGCTCTCCACTAACGTGGATAATTTTTCCTTGGTGGAACGAGATGTCTTGGGCACGATGTGTGTCTAAAAGTAGGCATGTCAGATAAAGAATTCTTATCAGGACGTTGGACCACCCTCTAACTGGGTATTTCATACATAGATCCCAACAAAATAATATATATTCGTTTTGACAAATGTTTGTTCTCTAAAATGGGGTTTAAGTTTCCTTTCAATGAATTTGAAGTCGAGTTCATGATTTGTTTAAGAATCAGCCCTTCACAATTTCACCCAATGAATTGGGCCTTTCTAAAGGCCTTCCAGTGTTGTTGTGAATATAGGAATGGTATCCCACCCTAAACCCTTTCTTTCACCTTTTCAACATATAATGCACCCTGTCCACAACAGACAAGGACCAAGGATTTCTTTCCTTCATACAAGTGAAGAAGATGTTGAAGTTTATATGGACAATATCAAGACTTTCAAGGATATGTATTATTTGGTTACCTCCCCCGATTATGAAGCCTATGAGAGTTTGTGTGTGTTAGCGGAGGGTCGTGTGGATAATAGAAACTCATTTCCAAGGTTCACCTCATATTCCCTCAAAATGCTTCATGAATCTAAAGTGTGTAGACAAGTTTACCAAATACTAGAGGGGGGGGGGGGGGGGGGGGCAATCACTTTTTTGGAGGCTTTGAGCATATATGTCTATAAGTCATGTGATCTGCCTTCTAAGGAAGAAAGTTTAAAGTCTATTCTTGTTACACTTTGGGAAGGATTAGGTTTTATGAATGGGGTGATCCTTTTGAAAGTCATACCCTAAAGAAAAAGAAGCAGTATATAGAAACCCAGACTTTGGTAGAGGCGAACACCAAGGAAAAGACATAGAATATTCAATGAGTAAAGGAACTTTTAGCTTACTCGTTACTTTTAGTATTGCCAATTTTTCCTTGTGTATTCATTGTTTATTATTGTCTTGCAAATAACGTGAGTATTTTTAACGACCTGGGGGAAATGACTAAGGGTCTTAGATAAAGTAGCCCCACATCATTCTCTACCTCCAAAGAAGTCAATGGAAGTGGGTGTGTAGATTCAGAAAAATATTAAGCTAAACGGCTCGCAGCAGGGTTCATAGTTTCCAAAGGATCAGCCATATAGAGACAAATGGGAAGGAATGCATACCCATACTTCTCCCTCCTCCGAGGTTAAATTTTTTTTTAATTCTTTCTCGAGAAATCATGCCTCATTGAGGAAGGTCAATGATGGTTCGTCCAAGTAGGGAGAAAGACAAAAAGTGCGTTCAAGATAGGTCGACCTTAAATAATCTCAATAGGGGGTTCTTGAGGCCATCAAGATAATAATAAAGGGAAACCAAAGTGTGTCACCTTCCTATTCTATGCAGTATTTCCTTTTCACTATTGGTCCCATATCAACCAATTATGTCAAGTCCAACTCCCTTAACAGTGATTAAAACTACTTTGCTCGTTTGACTGACTTTATATGCCAAGAAGTGATGGCAAACATGTCATATCATTTGCATCGAGCAACCATTGTGTTTTCATTGATGTCACTAGAAAAGGGGAAATTTTGGTTCCTTATAGCCTAAAAAAAGGTAAGATCTTTTAAAAATGGATTGAATCATTCCTTCAAGAAAGAGACGATATTTTGAAGGAGCTTGCCGAGATAAAAAGACTATTTTAATATGCACAAAAATATTTGATCGAATATAGTTTC